CAGTATGAAAAGTTCTTCATAACAAAGCCTTGCCATAACATTTGTTTGTTGTGCGGCAGAATCGGTCCATAAGTATTTTCTAAAATTGCGGTGGATTAGTTCAATTTTTTCATAATTAAACTGCTTGTCGTAGGTCTCTAATATTTTAGTATGTTTATTAAAACTAGGTACACATGAGGTACACTATCGTCATTCAAATATTTATTAATATCACAGAAAAGAATCTAGCAAAGTGATACTGACAATTGAGAAGTAGAACAATTTCCATCTGTAATTTTTAGACCAGATTTTTTGCAAAAACGTAAACAAAATACTTTATTTTAATTTGTTTATATTGTTGAATTTTTGCACAAATTCAATCAACTGGAATAGTTATCAAGTTTCATCCAATGTCATTAAAAATTAAATCGTTTCGAAAAAAAATTAACTTTATTAAACATTAAATTTTATACTTATGTGGTATACAATTCAAAATGACTTGAATGAATGAAATTTTATAATAAAATTTTGCCGAAAATAGGATTTTTAACTTCCCGTATGGCAAGTTTTAATAATAATCAAAAATTCAAAAATGAAAATTTCTGCATTTCTCGGCGTTTTGAAGGTTTCTGTACATTTTAGCATACCTCAGAAAAAATGGATGTGTGTGTGCAGATACAAATTTTCGTCGACAATTTTGAGAACACAAATCAACCGATTTGTATAATTAAAAAACAATTCATTTGTTTTGACAAAATGAAGTACCGTGTAAATTTTTGCGAAGGCAGGTCTAGCAGTTTCAGAGATCCAATAATAATAGTAAAAATGCCATTTAGCGGTCAAAAATATTCATTAGACATATGCACATCAAATTATAAAATATTTTATAGAGATTTTAATAATGTGTACACATTTTGTGTCAATTTGTTTGGGTTCCGTATCAAGATTTTCAATTTTAAAACTCACGTATATTATTCAAACAAATGTCCTCGACATTTTCGACAGTATGAAATAACCGATTTGTATGATCAAAAAAATCACACTCAATCGCAAGATGTTTTTGCAAAAGGCACGTCCAGCCGTTTCGGAGTAATGGAGCGTAAAGAGTGTATAAACAGTTATGCAGGTTTTAAGAGAAGGGATCATCCGATTAGAATAATTTAAAAAACATTTTGCTTGTGTAGACGGTGTGCAAAAAATGCTTTTACAGAAAATTTCGAGATTTTAAAAATTCAAAAAAAAAAAATTAAATTTAAAAAAATTCTAGTCTTAAATTTTTTTATAATTTTCGCAAAATAAAAAGAATTTAAAAATATTTGAAAAAAATCAAAATTTACAAAAAAAATTACGATTTCAAAACTTTTCAAAAAAAATCCAACATTTAAAAAAATTCAAATCCTCAATATTTTTCATAATTTTCGAAAATAATCAAGAATTTAAACATTTGTAAAAATAATCAATTTTTTTTTGAAAAATCAAATGTTTACAAAAATTTCAGAATATTTCGAAATTATCAAAAAAAACTCGAATATTTTAGAAAATTTCCAAATTTTCAAAAAATAAAAAAATCGTTTTTTTTCAAAAATTCAAATTGCAAAAATGCTTTTATAAAAAAATGTGTTATTTTAAAAACTTTCAAAAGAAAATATTCAAAATTTTCAAAAAAATCAAATTTTCGAAATTTTTCATAGTTTTCTAAAAAAATCTAAACTTTGAAAAATTTAAAAAAATCGATTTCTTCCAAAACAAAATATCGAACAGTTTCAAAAACTAAAAAATAGATGTTTCCAAAAATTTCAAAAAAATTAGAACTTCTAGAAAAATTCTAAAATTTTGAAAAAAATTCTAAATTATTTTGTACTGTAACGGAATTAGTCCTATTTATCCTATTTTATTACAATTTATTGTACTAACTAATTTTTAACTAACATGTCTAGAATGGGTTTATATTATATCAAAAGAATAAGAGAGTTCAGAACAAGTGCAAGTACAAGGTGTAGAATTTATGTTAAAAGTTTGTGTGAATAATAATATAACCGGATAAAAACAGAATGACTGATTATATATTCTTTAACTAAAAACATGCATTACAAATATTATTAACAATCACTTGTTTTACACAAAACAAAAGAGAAACATATATACATAAACATAGAGTAGGCATAGAGTGTTTAGTATCAAACTTCAACACAAGCAACATAAAGTTAACAATAAATGTCTTAAAACTTCTAATTTTTTTTTACTTGTTCAATTCAAATACAACCGACTCGCATACAAAATCACCAAACAGTCCCTCCACCTTTACACCAAAAAATAAGGGTTTTTAATGCGCATGCCCTAATCGAACTTTACCGACGACTTCTACCAACCCTACGAAGGCAGTACAATATGCGATCGACCGCAAATAGTGCTCCATTATTTCGGTGTCGTATTTTTTTAGTTTGATAAAACAAATTTCGTTCTTTGTTCAAGTGCCAATAGGAATAAAAAAGGTAGAGATAAAATTTATATATAAAATATTAAAATTAAAATTTTATTTATACTTATATATGTTATATGGATCGATTTATTTAATTTGGGTGTAAGTGATATGCCTGGTTATATGAGTACTCATACAAAACGTTGCTTTTTCTGACAATATTGATTTTCGCGAAACCGTATATAGGACACTTTATAAGAGCACCTGTTAGACTACAAAAAATATTTTGTTATAAATAAACTAGTGGTGTATGGCATCGTGCCTTAAGGCTAATTGCTGGAACTTCCCGTACCGTAACGAAATATTCGAGAAATTTTAAACGTTTTCAAATATATTATTATAAATACTGTAACATTGTCTAAGAATTTTATAAACTGAATTACAAAGTTAAAATTATTTATTTCAAGTATATAAGTAATGTTTAGAACTTTAGCTAGAATTAGAAATAAATTTTGTATTATTTTCAATATAAAACTAGTGGTCCATGGCATCGTGCCTTAAGGCATATTGCTGGAACTTCCCGTACCAGAATTAAATATTTGAGGGTAAAAAATTAATAGTCAATAAATATTGATCAGTGATTAATAACAAATGTTTTATACATTTTCAAATATATAATTATAATTACTATATACAGTGACGATCTTATCGCTCAAAACACTTGAGAAAGTTTACATTAGCAAGAGGTGTCGACTGAATCCATCTGATGATATATTTCTTACGACTAGAATAACGCATTTGAAATATATACATTTTTAAACTGAATTGTAGATTTGAAATATATGTATTTATATAATATATATATATATATATATATATATATATATATATTTGAAAATTTTGAAAATAAATTGTTCTGAAATTTTTGAAATTTGTTTGAACCGTATAAGTAAATTTTAAAAATTAACAATCTTGGTATGGAACCCAAAAAATTGTAACAAAATTAAACAAAAATATAAATATAAATATAAATATAAATATAAATATAAATATAAATATAAATATAAATATAAATATAAATATAAATATAAATATAAATATAAATATAAATATAAATATAAATATAAATATAAATATAAATATAAATATATAAAAATAAATATAAATATAAACATAAATGTAACTAGTGGTGTATGGTACCGTGCCTTAAGGCAAATTGCTGGAACTTTCTGTACCGTAATGAAATATTCGAGAAATTTCAAACGTTTTCAAATATATTATTACAAATACTGAAACTTTCATTATTTTTGCTTTATCTTGTTATAACTGAGCAAATCTAATGTAAATCATAAATCATAAACCAATTTATCTTCAGAACATTAACAATCGTCATTTCATTTCGAATTCAATTTCAAAAAATAGTTAATTTCTTACAATATTTTACCAAAATTTTGTTATCTTACATAGATACATGAAAAAAATTCACTTACCTAAAAAATCCTGAAGGATCTTGTTTTCCTAATAAATTCCTTTTTGGACGTTGATGCCAAATCAAAAAATATAAAACAAAATTGTTATTAATTCCAAAATTCACAAAATTTTCTATAATGTTACCTGTAAATAAAATTGATTGATTGAGGAAATTGTTAATGTATAATTTGTAAATATATTCAAGAAAATATTGTATATATATATATATATATATATATATATATATATATTATTTAAATTTTTCACATTGGAAAATCATTTTGGAATTTTAAATTGCATCCAAAAATGCCTGTACAAAAAATACACGAATTATTTAAAATTTCTTTTCTATATTGCAATAATTATACAGTTCGAGCTGGATGTCATTGCATTGTGTATTTTTTGAAATGCTGATTAAATGCTCAAATTTTCAATAAAACTTGTCAAAACCCTTTAGTACATTTTTTTGAAAAAGGATCGATTAAAATCATTTCAAATCCGTAATAAAAAACCTGCTCTTTTAGCTCAATTTTCAAGAAAAAAAAACCCCGATCGTCATAATTCAACAAAGTCTTAATTATTAAAAACTCGGGGAAAATGTGTCAGTATTTTTGTAATTAAATCTAAAAATGATATTCACTGTTACGGTCCGAAAATTTAAATGAACTGAAATAATAAAAACTAACCACAACAACCAAAAAATTGTCACAGTTTCACCAAAGCTCCAGTTTGCACTTGAAAACTCATAATTTACTTGCAATACATTTTGTCTCATGTTTCTAATTCTTTTTACCTCGTTGAGTTCTGGGACATCCTGCATATATTAGTCTTTGTATTTTTGAAGTTTCATTTATTTTATTTAAACACCAAAAATTCATTGGCGAATAAAAATTATTAAAAAAAAACACACACACACAATGAACGAAACGTTCGATTTACTTGCAATCATTTTTTTCTCATTTTTCTTGACGTTGAGTTCTGGGGCACCCTGCATACATTTGTATTTTTATTGATTTTCAGCTAAAAATGTTTCACCAAACCCCAGACAAGCCCACAAAAGTGGCTGTCGAGCCAAATTTAAACATCAAAAATTCCTTGGCGAATAAAAATTATTAAAAAAAAAACTCACACAATGAACGAAACCCAAAAACAATCACTATGCCCCAGACTAATAGACTATTTGGCCATTGTTGGCTCAAGAAGTGGCCCAAGAACGGTGTCACGTGGGAGCAGGACTTTGGCTGGCCATCTTATGCAGGTAAAAAAAAAATAGAAATAGATTTATGAATTATTAAAATGTTGATTTGTTAATAATATTTTGATTTTTGTTTAAGCAACCTGAGTTATTGAGGAGGTATCCGTTACAAGATCATGAGGACTTTCCTTTGCCTTTGGATATGGTTTATTTTTGTCAACCAGAAGGATGTGTTTCTATGCCTTCGAAAAGGAATACCAAGTCGGAGATTACTAGTTTTGTTTTTGCTTTAACCGACAAAGACTCAGGTAAATTAGATAAGGAATCAGTTTTTTCTAATTTAAGTACCAAAGGCACTAGTTTTGCTTTATCTCTGCCTGGTAAATGCTCAAATAAATCTGGCAACCAACTAATTATTTCATTTAAGATATTTTATGCCTAAATACAAAGTATAAAGTTTCATTCTTAGTTCTATTTTTGTCTTGACCGGTTTTAGAAACCGGTTTTTGGAGAAAATTATGGAATTCAAAAACCGGCTTTTTAGTGAAAAAAGTCGGTTTTCACTGTATAAATGGAAAATGACAAATATAGCCAAATATAAAAGATAGATGAAAGCGTTTTGATTCTTGAAATCATATCGGTTCAATAGCATTTGATATCTTATCAGTCTGCAATGGTTCCCAGAAAGGTTTTGTATATATTAATTTAGATTTTTATACCGGTGTATATATTAATTTAAATCAGTGTGACTTCTTTTTGAAGAAGTAACTTCCTCTAGTCAAATTTAAAAAAATAAAAAACAAATAAAAAAGTAAAAAACTTAGTATGATTATATCAGGCTTTAAAAACAATTAAGCATAATTTGGTCGCAAGTATGAGAGCATTTTCTATTTCAGTAGCAATATGATAGACATTCTCAGTTTTTTGAAATCATATTTTATTAAACAAAAAAACAATTAGAGTGTTTAAAATTAATTAATTAAAATTGCTTGGAACAGACAATACCCGAGTTTAGCTTAATTGTTTTTAAAACTAAAATTGATTTTAACAAGTATGTATCAACATGTATCTAATATTTTTTTTTAATTTAATGAATGTTTTTTATTTAAAAATGCATTATTTTTATTTATTCCAAAAATTTTCTTTCACTATCATAAAAATATTTTCATTCTTATATGTGAAAATGATGCATGATTAACGAATAATTATTTTCAAAGTTATTTAATCAAGATAAACTATTATTTTTTATTTCTACTAATTAAAAATAAAATAATTTTGTTTACTATCCATAAAATTGAACAATAAATAAATTCAGTCAAATTCTGCTCTAAATTACACTAAATCTGCGGATAAATTATAGAATATTCGAGCAAATATTTATAAAATTCGAAAATTTGAAAACCGGTTTTCTGAAATGTCGGTTTTTGTATAAACCCTAGTCTTGACTTAGTTATAAATTAATTTTTACGTTTTGGTGTGTCCAGAGATAACTACTTAGTTTTTGATCTGATTGATGAAAAATCTGGCAAATAAATTAATACAGTACACGAAAACACTCGTCAGTAATTTTTCTTATTATAAAATAAATCTAGTAAAAACTAATTATTTCATATACCATTTATTAGATTGTCAAATATCTCCCATCCGCTTTTTTGCTCTTGGTTTACAATACAAAAAGGCGGAAGGGAGATATTTGACAACCTAATATAACAAAAACATGTCCTTTGTTTTAAGCAGAAGCTTTTAATCTTTAACCAGAAACTGATAAATTGAAGAAAAACTGTCTGCCTGTCTAAAAATCCAATTTTACTGGTTGTATTTTTGATACCAAGATTATTTTCACCTTGTCACATCTAATTTGTGCCAGACTGTAACTTGTATCATCAAAAAATCGTCAGAATTTACATTACAACTCATCATCACAAATTTGTGCCAAGTATCTTTAAATTGTGTTGGTTCTTGTAGGAAAAACACGTTATGGAGTATGTGTAAATTTCTATAGACAAGTAGAACGTGTAGAAACTAGACAACAATCTACAACTGGTGTAGAAACACAATCCAGTCAAAAAACTTCAAGAGCAACCTTACCAGAAAAAGTTACTGACTCTCCTACCTCAAGGTAAAGTATAACTAGTGGTGTATTGCATCGTGCCTTAAGGCAAATTGCTGGAACTTGGAAAAGTGATCCCGTATAGTCACAGTCTAAACGCATTTGCAAATAATTCCGTGCGACATTTTCACTTATACTGTGCTTAGCTTGGCGGCATTTTCACATTTTTCAATAGTTTATACACAAAATTGAAAAGGTTTTTTATAGTTATGAAAAAAACATCAAGAATTTGAAATTTATTAAAAAAGATCAAAATGATTTTGCAAAAAATTTGTGATTTTAAACATTTTCAAGAAAACAAATCCAAAATTTCAAAAAATTCAAATCTTCGATTTTTTCATAATTTTTGAAGAAAATCAAGATTTTAAAAAAGATCAAAATTTTTTAAACATTCATTTTTTACAAAAAATTCAGAATATTTCGAAATTTTCAAAAAAAAAAAATCGGATATTTTCAAAATATCCAAATTCTCAAAAAATAAAAAAAACTTTGCAAAAACTTTGCAAAAATTGATATAGCAAAAATGCTTTTACAAAAAAAAATCGTAATTTTAAAAATTTTCAAAAAAACAAAATTTTCAAAAAAATTCGAATTTTCCAAATTCTTCATTCAAAAAAATCAAATTTTTGAAACATTTAAAAAAAATAATTTCTTACAAAAATTTGAAAATATTTCGTTATTTTAATATAAAAAAAAATCAAATTTATTCAAAAATTTAAAAAAATAGATTTTTCTCAAAAATTTCGAACTTCTAAAAAATTTACCAAAATTTTGAAAAAAATTCTAAACTATCAGAAAAAATGAAAAAGTGCTCCTATATAGTCACAGTCTGAACGCATTTGCAAATAATTCTGTGCGACATTTTCACTTATACTGTGCTCAGCTTGGCGGCATTTTAACATTTTTCAATCGTTATAGTTTTCAATAGTCATAAACAGTCTGAACGCACTTGGATAAACATTTGTACCAGAGTGGCGCTTAGACTGTGCTTAGCCTGGGTAATTTTTTGAATTTTTAATCCAAAATTACAAAAATATTTTATGAAAAATAAAAAAGATATAATTTAATTAAATTTAAATAATAATTTTTAATCCTCAAAAGCAATTGTTTTGTCAATACAATCAGAAAGTTTTTTAGATCATTCAAATCGGACGCTTAGTTCACTCAAAAATTGTTATTTTTTGCACATTTGGCTCTGTATCTTCGAAAAGGCGCCACCTGTCTTTGTCAAAAACTAATCACGCCTTCTCCCAATCATTACAAATTCAATGTTTCTTAGATCATTCAAATCCGATACTCCGTTGACTCAAAAACTCGATTTCTGTTTTCTGCACTCTTTGCTCTTTATCTCCGTAACGGCTGTACGTGCCTTTATCAAAAACTAATCAGCACATCTCCGTATCAATACGGATCGAATGTTTTTAAAACTATTCAAATCGGTTGATCCGTGTGCCCGAAAACGTGGACGAAAAAATTTGGACATACAAAACACACACACATCCATTTAGTTTCTGAGGTATGCTAGTAAAATGTTCAGAAACCTTGAAAACGTCGAGAAATGTAAAAATTTTCATTTTAAAATTTCGGCCCATTACTATAACCCTACGGGAAGTTAATAAAGCTCTTATTTAAGTATAATGTGCTCAACTTGCAATTACCTCTAAATTTTTTTTTCCACAGAACCAAATTATCAGCCGCCGATTCTGACGAGAACGTTTCAAGAAAAAACTTGGCAGCATCTGAATTAGGTACAAAATAGCACTAATTTAAGCACTATTTAGTACTAAAAATATTTTTTTCCATTCAAGGTCATCAAACAAATTCCAGTGAACCAGAAAGTCGCAAAACAAGTCCTCGTCTCAATGAAAAAAAAAATAAAAACAACACGCATATCATCATTAACCTCTTTGTGCATCCTTAGTCACCATCCATTTTTTTCAAAATTTCGTGAAATTTTATTGCTGTTAAAAAATTTAATAGACGCTTGTGATACTACATACATTCCTAGAAGGAGCAGTTATCGACAAATTGGCAGGTAAGGATAAAAGACATATGTTTAAAGGTAAAAAAAGAGTGCCCGTAAGGATCACACGCGATTGAAGTAAAACTTATTTGCAAGTATATTGTAGCAAATTTAAGTTGAGTAAAAATAAATACATCATATAAAAATTTTGAATAATGGTTATTAGTAATATGGTAACACTCGTGATGCACACATTTATTAGTGTCCTGTCAACCATTATACACATTTATATAATGATAAAGTATGAATTATATATTTATGATTGCATTAAAAATATGTATAATATTTACAAACAATAATGTAATCAAAGTCGTACTTGAAATATGACATGATCGTTTTAAAGTAATTGCTGATTACTAAATTCTATAATATTCATTTACACAGTGGATTATGTTAAACAACGCCTAAACAAATATTGTTTTTGCAAATTAACTCATCCTGTAACAATTGTGTTTGAAGAACTTCATGTAATTAAAATTAACATACATTAATTTACTGTTTTTTTACTTTTTTGCTGACGATATAATCTCATTCCTTGAACAGCTGTAATATCTGTCTTGCCTAACAAATTGAAGCCATACTTTTATATTTGTTTTATTTATCAAGCCCTGCACATAGCTTGATCTATGAATCATTTGCTTTTTTATGTGAACGTTAATGCAATGATCATCATCAATATTACGAGGTAATAAATTAACCATATTATTAATGTCAACAGGCACATTTATAATTTGGCCAAACATTCCAAATTGTACATTTGCATGTCGCAATCGTCTAATTTGCATGAAACACAACCTAGGTGAAATTAACCTTTCAGATACAGTATCTAGTTTAGATAGATAATTTGGTATAGGTGGAAAAACAAACCCGTTAAACTTACACAAAGTGGGAATTTTACCCGAATTTAATATGTTTCGACAAGTTTGACATCCAACCTGATTATTTAAATCAATATTCAAAAAACATTATTAAGAATTTGTTTTTGAGCATCATTTGATATTTCTAAGTCACTTTGATGCCAAAGTCGATCACACACAAAACATACATAGCCAAAGCTATCATTTCATACGCAGCGCAGATTTTTCCTTTATTTCATTATCGATCAAATGCACTACAATTATTTATGGGGGACGGGATAAAATATTCTTCCGATCCTGACATTTTTATTAACTCACGAATTATACTGCTAACCCATGTCGCGCCTAAAGAAGTTTTACTTCAAAAAACGTTTAGAGACTACGAGCTAAATACAAAACTCAAGTGAAAGTCGACACATTTTGTTTTGTTTTTGACATATGATTTGACATTTGATGTATTTTTTGTTTTGCTCGCAGACTAGATCGAATAATTGCGATAGCTGCGCTTACTAGCGTCGTAGTCTTTAACTTCACGTTGGCGTTTTCATTGCATTTGTACGGATTTACACCCGTGTCGCGCCTAAAGAAGTTTTTGAAGTAAAACTTCTTTGGGCGCGACATGGGTGTAAAAACTTCTTTAGGCGCGCCATGGGTTAGGTTGGATAAAATAATCAGGTTGGATGTCAAACTTGTCGAAAAATATTAAATTCGGGTAAAATTCCCACTTTGTGTAAGTTTAACGGGTTTGTATTTCCACCTTATACCAAATTATTACCTGAACTAGATACTGTATCTGAAGGTTAATTTCACCTAGGTTGTGTTTTTGCAAATTAGACGATTGCGACATGCAAATGGACAATTTGGAATGTTTGGCCAAATTATAAATGTGCCTGTTGACATTAATAATATGGTTATTTATTACCTCGTAATATTGATGATGATCATTGCATAACGTTCACATAAAAAAGCAAATGATTCATAGATCAAGCTATGTGCAGGGCTTGATAAATAAAAAAATATAAAGTATGGCTTCAATTGTTAGGCAAGACGGATATTACAGCTGTTCAAGGAATGAGATTATATCGTCAGCGAAAAAGTAAAAAAATACAAGCAGATGAATGCGTGTTAATTTAATTACATGAAGTTCTTCAAACCAATTGTTACAGAATGAGTTAATTTGCAAAAACACTGTTTGTTTTGGCGTTGTTTAACATAATCCACTGTGTGAATGAATATTATAGAATTTATTAATCAGCAATTACTTCAAAACGATCATGTCATATTTCAAGTACGACTTTGATTACATTATTGTTTGTAAATATTATACATATTTTAATGTAATCATAAATATATAATTTATAATTAATCATTATATAAATGTGTATAATGATTGACGACACTAATAAATGTGTGCATCACGTGTGTTATCATATTACTAATAAACCTTATCCAAAATTTTTATATGATGTATTTATTTTTACTCAACTTAAATTTGCTACAATATAATTGCAAATAAGTTTTACTTCAATCGCGTGTGATCCTTACGCGCACTCTTTTTATGTAATATAGATGGCGACAGCTCGGTGAAACTGCTTATTATGTCGCTCTTAATAATACTTTGGTAGTAAATATGGCTGAACGTAATTTTTAGTGAATAATCCGATTTCAGTGTAATGTATTTTTTTCCTATATGTTCGAAATAAAAGCAGCGTTCATTTTTTTATACTCATGTCGCGCCTAAAGAAGTTTTACTTCAAAAACATATGTTTACCGGGATAATTGTTAATGGTGTCTTGTTTTAGGGAAACTGTTTGGACGCTTTTAACCGGTGCAAGACGTCCTGTGGAAACCCAAAATGCATCTTCAATAGTTTTAAACGACGCTCGTGAAATTGAGACATGGATTTTGAGGCTTTTGTCAGCACCAGTGCCTGTTCCTGGAATAACTCGTGTCGAATTGGAGATTTTATCACCAGAAACAAACGAACCGTTAATTTTTGCCTTACCGGATCACACGCGTTTTACTTTGGTAGACTTTCCATTACACTTACCTCTGGAACTACTAGGCAAGAAATAATTGATATATTTAATCTGATTTTTTTTTAATCCATATATTTTTAGGTGTGGACACTTGTCTGAAAGTTTTATCTCTGATTCTGTTAGAGCACAAAGTGTTAGTTCAATCAAGGGACTACAATGCATTATCAATGTCTGTGATGAGTTTTGTATCAATGATTTACCCATTAGAATATATGTTTCCGATAATACCTCTTCTGCCGCCTTGTATGAGCTGTGCAGAACAACTTTTGCTGGTTCCTACACCATTTATAATCGGGATTCCAGCTTCGTTTCTGCTTTATAAAAAACAATTTAGGTAAGTGGAAAATATTAGGGAATGCAATACCGGTATACCGGTATACCGAATTACCGGTAAACCGACCGATTTTTCGGACAGTATTTTTACCGATATTATCCCAAACATACCGGTATTTTCGGTACTTTTACATAAGCGCTATTTGATACATACACTAAAGTTTAAAATCTCGGAACAAATTTATCTTTAAATTCCATAATCGCATAAACAGCTATATCTTCAAATGATTCATAGGATAAACAAATGTCAAATATTATCTCAACTCGTCATTAACTGAATATTTATTGCTTTCCAAAGGGCTTCATTTCGTGTTACAATAAATAGAATTGGACTGATAGATAATGATGTTTGTTTCATCTTTTGTAAAAATGTTAACGGTTTTTTAAGTGATATTTGCGCCAAAATATTTTATATCATACAGATTACCCCTGCGTAATCCTTATTTTTTTCTAACTTTATACATAATAATTATGACAATTACTAAATATTTTTGCTTCTTCACCATTATAAAATATTATTTTTCGAAAACGTTTTGAAGTTTGAAAATACTATAGAAGCATCACATTGTTTTAAATAACAATACTTAACAATTATAGTAACTTATTATTTATCTCGACAAAGTATACGATCTTAAATTAGTGTAGAAAAATTATTTTTTAAATATTGGAGATTATGCTATTAACACATCGGATACAGACAATACAGTTCATTATAATAACGTTATAGGATATTTTATGAGTTTTTAGTTTTTCTTACTCATAAGTTTGTTTCTGGTGAAAAGTACTCAATATACTCGATAGTAATAATGAATTAATTAAATTGGATACTAGCTGTAAGTGGAATTCTGTCTTGAGGCAATTATGGCATCGTGCCTTAAGGCAAATTGCTGGAACTTCCCGTACCGTAACGAAATGTTCGAGGAATACTGAATGTTTTCAAATAGATTATTATAAATATTGTAACATTGTCTAATATTTATAAGAATTATATAAACCGAATTGCAGAGTTAAAAATTATTGTTAAGTATATTAGAATTATAGTCAGAATTAAAAATAAAATCTGAAATATTTTTGATATACAAAAACTAAAAAAAAAGTTGGAACAAAATTTTTTTCCAAAATCAATTATTTTGTTAAGACAAGCAGAAAGTTTTTTGAATCATTTAAATCGGACGCTTAGTTCTCTCAAAAACTGCCATTTTTTACATATTTAGCTCCGTATCTTTGAAATGGCTGGGCCTGCTTTGCCAAAAACTAATAAACACTTCTCCCAATCATTACTAATTGAATGTTTTTTAGATCATTCAAATCGGATACTCCATTCTCTCAAAAATTCGATTTCTATTTTCTGCACTCTTTGCTCCGTATCTCCGAAACGGCTGGACCTGCCTTTGCCAAAAACTAATCAGCTCTTTTCCCTATCAATAGGAATCGAATGTTTTTTGAACCATTTAAATCCGTTAATCCGTGCGCCCTAAAACGTGACTGGAAATTTGTATCCATACATACATACACACACACACATCCATTTTTTCTGAAGTATGCCAAAACGTTCAGAAACCTTCAAAACGTCGAGAAATGTAAAAATTTTCAATTCCGATTTTCGGCCCATTCCATTAAAATAACTTACCCTACGGGAAGTTAATAATTTTTGTAAATTATTATTTAAAAAAATAAACTTATTGTTTTATTTTATTGGTTTTATTGTTTAGTAGAATATAGTTGTAGTTGTACATACATTTTTTTATATTTGTACTAGTAACTTTCAATTTTGTTTACGTTTTTGTTTAAGATAATAAAAACACCGGTTTTTACCGGTATTCCGGTTTTAAAATGAAAATTTACCGAAAAACCGGTATTGAAATTTTCCATCGGTATTGCATTCCCGAAAAAAGATTGAAAAATAATGCATGTTTAGCACTTTGTTGTACAATAAACGAATTTTATTCTAAGGTTGCCTGATGATGTATGGTTGATAGATTTGGATTCAACAAAATTGACACCTCCACCAAGGTTTGCTAATGATTTGCCTCAATTACCAGAACCAGAGGCATCGATATTGAAGAATCATCTGAAACAAGTAAACTACCCTAAATTTTTATTTTTGTTTTGTTTGACCAACAATTTTTTTTGCAGGCTCTCAACAGTATGACAGTTACAGATAACTCGCTGTTTAGTAGAGACAATATGACTACATCGACTCCACACAAATTGAGGTACTGCACTTATGAAAGCTGAAAGGAAATGATAATTTCCTTGAATGAAGGAAATGATAATTTTCATGCCATTTTATAGGTATTTTCGAGAAAATTCGAAATACCAAATTTCAAATCTGTAGCTCATCATTTGTCCGAGATATCAGTGAAAATATGTGAAAGTGCCCCTTCTTTCAACTCTTGCAAAGCGACTTATATGGGTGTTCTTGTACCGGCAGCGCGTGTACTAGCTTAAGTTTTTACAACTTTTCTCCCAAAGTTTCACTTAGATTCAAATGAATTTTTGAATAACAGAAGAAAAATGTACACGCTTTCGAATGATGCTAATATAAAAGTAGTCCAAAAAGCAGCACTGATAGAAAATGGAAAATGAAAAATCATTTTCACTTTTCACGCACTAACAAATATTTTTTTCACATTATTTGTTAGGAACAACATAGACAAGATCAGTACAAATAGAATGACGTTAACAGTTTTTCGATATCTTTCATATTTCCGACAAAAAGTGAGTTTGAAAAAAGGTTTATTAAAAACCAAAATTTATTTATATCTTGTATATAAGTATATTTATTAGTCATAATGAAAATCCAAAGCGCCGAATAAAAATAATAATTATTATTATTGATTATTTTCATTCGCCGTATAAGCTTGTGACTAATATATTTTAATGTATGAAAAACTTAAAATTTCAATATTTTTCATATATTTACGTCGGCAATAAAAAGTATTTTAATATTAATTCATTACCTTTTTTTGATTTTTTGCATTGTTATTATATTTTATATAGTTATCATTAAATAAAAATCGATAAAAATATATGTCAGAATCATTCATAGCTATTCAACGCAAGCATATAAGTATTAAAAATATATTTAGTATTAAAAGTATATTACAAAAAATATATCTCTGTTGTTAAAATTATAATTATTATAGCTATCCATGGCTATCCAAATGACAACTATTATTTTTCAGAAAATAGTAAAAACAATTATAATTATTTATTCTATGTAACTACTTTACAATTCTGCATCATCCACAGTTTTCTCAATTTAATTCCCTTTCTATGTAAATATTAGGTTGTCAAATATCTCCCTTCCGCTTTTTTGCTATTGGTTTATAATACAAAAAGGCGGAAGGGAGATATTTGACAACCTATTTATTGTAATACTTGCAATTTTTCAATATCATGATAAAATTGTCACTAAAATGTAAAATTATTGCAATTTGAGTCAAGTTATAAATAGTGCACAGAAAAGAAAATATGATTTTTGCAAAACTAATATCGAATCAAAAAATAATATTGCTATTTACCATGGAAAACCACAATAATTATAATTGTGAAATTCTATGTGTAAACAAATTGCTCACAGAGATATATTTTTCAATATACTTTTAATATATGAAAAATAATGAAATCTTAAGTTTTTCATACATTGAAATATATTAGTCAGAACTTATACGGCGAATAAAAATAATCAAAGTCGTTCTTGCAAAGCGACTTTATATGGGTGTTTTTGTACCGGCAGCGCGCGTACTAGCTTAAGTTTTTCCAACTTATCTCCCAAAGTTCCATTTAGATTTAAATAAATTTTTGAATAATAGAAGCAAAATGTACAGGCTTTCGAATGATGCTAATATAAAAAAAGTCCAAAAAGCCGCACTGGTAGAAAATGAAAAATGAAAAATCATTTTCACTTTTTCACGCACTAAGAAATGATTTTTTCACATTATTTGTAATGAACAACATAGACAAGATCAGTACAAATAGAATGACGTTAACGGTTTTTCCATATCTCTCATATTTCCGACAAAAACTGAGTTTGAAAAAAGGGGCCATTTTCACATGTTTTCACTGATATATCGGCCAAATGATGAGCTACGGATTTGAAAAATGAAAAATCATTTCACCTTTTCACACACTAACAAATAATTGTTTTCACATTATTGTTATGAACAACATAGACAAGATCAGCATAAATAGAATAACATTAACAGTTTTTCTATATCTATCATATTTCCGACAAAAAGTGAGTTTGAAAAAAGGGGCCACTTTCACGAGTTTTTCCTAATGTCTCGGCCAAATGATGAGCTACGGATTTGAAATTTGGTATATCGAATTTCTCTCGAAAATACCTATAAATGGCATCAAAATAATTTAAATACCAGGGTGGGGCCAATTCTGTATGGAAACACGCCCATACCCTTCACTGTTAATGCCACACAAAATAAGTTTAATGTGTCATTTCTACTTTTTGCTTTTAGTGGAAATGCAAACTCCCAAAATTACCAAATAAACCAAATGCCCAGCAATGGACAAGTTAGACACGACAGAGACTTTGATGACAAAAAAATTCTCGGCGAAATTCAGTAATGCCTCCTGCACCAGAACACATGATATTTGGAACTGATGTAGATTCTGTAGATATCATGACCAGAGTTGCCATGGTAAGCAAAACTCATTTACGATCATGCCAAGACATTGTACTAATACAGTTTTTATTTTAGGTAAAATTCTTTAATTCCCCAAATCTCCTGGCTCATTTTCCGAGCACGCAAGAACCCTCAGACTTTACCCTCGTCCAGTGGTTGCTTTCCAAATAAACAGCTTTCTTCGATCCAGACCAACCTCATCACCTTTCCTCGACAAATTTGCTCGAACCCAAGCCATAGAATTTTGCTGCAGAATGGTCCTTGACTCCAAACAATGTGGCCTTTCAACGTGTACAAACAGGCGTATGCAACCTGAACAAATTGGCGATAAAGCCAAATGGTTTCCCAGAATTGGAACCAATACGTTTATTGTTTGGGATAATGGAAGTTCTTGAATGGTGCTTTGAGGAACGCCGGCAAACATGACGTGCAACCTGCTGGAAAGTATTGATTTATAGGAGTAAATTATGTAGGTGTTTGTGCTTATGTGGTGATTTGTATTGTAGATGACAGTGGTTCGGATTCTGAGGAATTTATGCTACGAGTACGAGCACTTCG